TTTTTTTTTTTTTAAGACAGGGTCTTGCTCTGTCACCCAGGCTGGAGTACACTGGTGTGATCATGGCTCATCACTGAAGCTTCAACCTCCCAGGCACAGGTGATCCTCCTGCCTCAGCCTCCTCAGTATCTGGGACCACAGGCATGCACCGCCACATCTGGCTAATTTTTTGTATGTTTTGGTAGATATGGGGTCTCTCGCTGTATTGTCCAGGCTGGTCTTGAACTCCTGGGCTCAAGGGATCCTCCTGCCTCAATCTCCCAAAGTGCTAGGATTACAGGTGTGAGGAACCACACCTAGCCCACATGAGGATATTTTAAGATGAGATCCCACAAAGGTGGAAAAACACATCATAGAGTGCATAGATGAGTTCCACTAAAAAAAAAAAAATTATAAAAAAACTGAGCCAGGTGTGGTGGCATGTGCCTGTAATCTCAGCACTTTGGGAGGCTGAGGTGGGCAGATCACCAGGTCAGGAGTTTGAGGCCAGACTGGCCAACATAGTAAAACCCTGTCTCTACTAAAAATACAAAAATTAGCCAGGTGTGGTGGTGGCACCTGTAATCCCACCTACTCAGGAGGCTGAGGCAGAATTGTGTGAACCTGTGAAGCAGAGGTTGCAGTGAGCAGAGATCGCACAACGGCACTCCAGCCTAGGTGACAGTGCGAGATTCTGTCTTAAAAAAAAAAAAAATTAGACTGGGCATGGTGGCTCATTCCTGTAATCCAAGAACTTTGGAGGCCAAGGCGGGTGGATCACCTGAGGTCAGGAGTTCAAGACCAGGCTGACCACCATGGTGAAACCCCGTCTTTATAAAATAAAACAAAACAAAAAATTAACAATGAGGAAATGTTAAACCGCTGCAAGAACGTGAAGATGACAGACACACACTCGACAATGAGCAGACAGTAAATTATATCTCTAAGGAGCTACGTCACACAGTGCTTTAAACACAGAGGTGAAATGAAGACAAAAGAAAGATAAGTGTGGAGCCGGGGCAGGTGCTTAGCTCAGTCCAGGCCTGGCACACCCCCTCCACATTTTGCCCCCGTCTTGGCTAGACCTGTTTTCTCTTCAGGGGCCCGCAGACCAGACCTTTGAGGAACAGAGCAAGAGGAAGCCTGAAGTTATTCTCCATGAGACCTCTAAGGGATCCCTGAGTCTTGAGTTGTTCCCACATCCAAAAGAGGCCACATGATCCTCCTGCCTCAGCCTCCCAGGTATCTGGGACCACAGGCATGCACCACCACGTCTGGCTAAGTTTTGTATGTTTTGGTAGATGTGGGGTCTCTTGCTGCATTGCCCAGGCTGGTCCTGAACTTCCCTTCACAGATGCTGGGGGGGACAGAGGCAGTGATGTCTGCCACACTCCAGATTTCTCCGGACAGAGAGCTACCAGGGATGTGGAGGGGGCATTTCCAGCGAAAAGAAGGCTGGCATGGAGGGAACAAGAGTCCTTACTCACTTCCACCTGCTGGCCACCATCCATACCTGATGCCAGGTGCCCATGGCAAGGCACCTGCCAGCATCCACCTCCCCCTCCAGAGAAAGCCCAGCACTTGGAAAACGTGTTTCACAGAAATCCATCAACCCAGTTCCCAAACGCTATAGAAGAGCAGCAGAGGCAGGAACCACAGCCAGCATCCGAACTAGACAAGGAAGGTGAATGCTCAAGAAAACAAAACAGAACTCTCAGCTGTTTTAAAAAAGAACTGGTCTGGGCACAGTGGCTCATGCCTGTAATCCCAGCACTTTGGGAGGTCAGGAAGGGAGGATCGCTTTGAGTCCAGGAGTTCGAGACCAGCCTGGGCAACACGGCGAAACCCTGTCTGTATAAAAAACTTAAAAATTAGCCAGGTGTGGTGGTGCATGCCTGTGGTCTTGGCTACTCAGGAGGCTGAGATAGGAGGATCATTTGAGCCCAGGAGGTTGAGGCTGCAGTGAGCCGTGATCACACTACTGTACTCCAGCCTGGTCAACAGAATAAGACACTATCACACACACACACACACCTAGATGGTAGGAAAGTAACATCAGATTCCACTGTGCCACACTCAGGAAAACAGTACAGCCACATTTCCCCCACCAAAATAGAAAGTGATTTCCAGAACGTGCATTTCACGCAATTGGTTTCACCGTGGGGGTCATCCTATCTCTCTGATGGATGTCAAGATCTGGCTGAACTTAGAGCACCTGGGGAACGTGACTGTCCTCCCTGCCTGGTAAGTTCAAGGTTACCAGGAAGTGAGGGAAAAATTGACTCCTGCCTCCTGACTCCTGGGCGAGTGTCCAAAACCAAGCTACATAAAAACCCCAGCCGCCCGGAATTCCTCTTGCTCAGACATGCTGGGACATGCCAAACTCTGCAAACTCCAGCTCCCACGCCTCCGTTTTGAGTCTCCCCTAATCCCCGCTAAGGAGAATAACAAACTTGTCGTGGCACTAAGATCTTGAAGCTCCAGGCCAGATGGTGGGTTTTCTACTGCTGTGGAGTTTTACGTATTAAAAAAGAAAAGTCAAAAGCAGACAAAATCCGCCTTCCTGCAGGTGGCCCAGTCTGCATGGCAACAGCTCACAGCTCGGTGTTGAAAGGACCACGCCCCCTCGTGGCCACACCTGGGGCCACAGTCCCACCCGTTGCCTGGCCACAGACCCTACGCCTTAACCAAGGAGCACTCATTTTTGTCCCTAAAACAAACATATGGCATCTTAAGTCCAGTTGTTTTTCTGAGATGGAGTCTCACTCTGTGGCCCAGGCTGGAGTGCAGTGGTGCGATCTCAGCTCACTGCACCTCCGCCTCCCGGGTTCAAGCGATTCTCAAGTCTCAGCCTCCTGAGTAGCTGGGACTACAGGCACGAGCCACCATGCCCGGCTACTTTTTGTATTTTTAGTGGAGATGGGGTTTCACTGTGTTAACCAGGCAGGTCTTGAAGTCCTGACCTCAAGTGATCCGCCCACCTTGGCCTCCCAAAGTGCTGGGATTACAGGCGTGAGCCACTGTGCCCGGCCAACATGGTACCTTAAGTCCAATTTTCAGGGCAGGAGACAAAAGTGGCCTCGCCCTGGGGGTGGAGAAAAGACACTTGTTGGCTAAAAAGGCTGCATTTCAACCAAAGGGAATATAAGTTCCTCTGTGCCCAAACTGGGACTATTATTAAAAAAAAAAAAAAAAAAAAAAAAAAAAAAAAAAGAAAGAAAGAAAGAAAGAGAGAGAGAAGAAAGAAAGAAAAAAAAAACCATACTCTTTCCCAAGGTGGCCCCAGAAAGGGCCAGGCTGTTGAGCACAGTTCAAGGTCAAGGACTCTTCAAGAGGCTTTTAAATTTCGGAAAAGCCAGTCATGTGTGTAAAGTGAATTCTGAAATTCCTTTGCCAATGGACAGGAAAGCAGGTGAGAACTTGTGGCCTGGCCATGGGATCATAGCACGTGGAGCCAGCAGAGATCCTCTCTGGGCATCTGGACCCCCCAGGCTGGCCTCCCCGGCCAAGGCAGCTGTGTCTCCAGATGCAGGGAGGAAAATGGAGAAAAAAAATCTTCGGCTGCTTCCCTCAAATCGACTGGAGCTTTTGTAGAGAAGGAGGAAGAGGAGGTGGGCGCATTAGAATCTCTTCCAGATCGGATCCCCCAGCCGAGGAGTTTGTCTCTTCCTGGCCACGCCCCAGAGGGTGGACATCCCTTCGTGGGGTCCCCAGCAGGAGGAGGTCTTAGGAGACCTGAGCGTCCCTCAGTGTTTGTGGCAGTAGCTGATGCTGCCCTCTGACTGCTCCAGAAGGTCCAGCATCTCCTCGATGATGGCTCTCAGCGCCCTGCCCAGCTGGTCGGCGTTGTACGGCTTCCCCAGCGGGGGCACATGGACGAAGGCTGATCGACCGTGGCTCTGGTACAGAGAGGTGTAGTAGGTAAAGTCGCAGAGATATCTAAGCCGCAGGGTGTGGCGGGTGAGAAAGAGACCAAAATGGGGTCAGAGGGGCAATCCACAGACCAAGGTGACAGCCCCATCCAAACCCAGGAAAGACCCCAGCCTCACCAGCAACCCACAAGATGGAATAACGCTCTCCTCCCTTCCCAGGTTGGCGAAGATGAAAAATATCGCCAGGGGTGGTGGTGCGTGCCTGTAGTCCCAGCTGCCCAGGAGGCTGAGGCGGGAGGATTGCTTGAGCCCAGGAGATTGAGGCTGCAGTGAGCCATGATTGTACTACTGCACTCAGCCTGGGCGAGAAAGTGAGACGCTGTCTCTTTAAAAAACAAAAAAAAACCCCAAAAAACCTGATAACTCCCAGTGCTGTGGCACATGTGGGGAAATGGGCAGAGTCAGCTATTGCTGGTGGGAATGCACGCTGGTTGGCCCCATGTGGAAGGCAATTTGACAGACTAGTAAAATTATAATCATCCAGACTTTACAACCTGGTATTTCCATTGTTTGTTTGTTTGTTTATTGGGACAGGGTCTCGCTCTGTCACCCAGGCTGGAGAGCAGTGGCACAATCACAGCTCCCTGTAGCTTCAAACTCCTGGCCTCCAGCGATCCTCCCACCTCAGCCGCCTGAGGAGCTGGGATACAGGCGTGCACCACCATACCCAGGTTTTTTGCGTTTTTCTTTTTTTTTTTTTTTTTTGATACAGAGTCTCACTCTGTCACCGAGGCTGGAGTGCAGTGGCGCAATCTCAGCTCAACCTCCGCCTCCTAGGTTCAAGCGATTCTCCTGCCTCAATCTCCCAAGTAGCTGGGATTATAGGCGCCCATGACCATGCCTGGCTAATTTTTGTATTATTAGTAGAGACGGGGTTTTACCATGTTGACCAGGCTGGACTCGAACTCCTGACCCCAAGTAATCCGCCCACTTCGGCCTCCCAAAGTGCTGGGATTACAGGAGGAAGCCACGGCACCCGGCCTATTTCCAGTTTGTTTGTTTATTTAGAGATGGAGTCACACTCTCACCCAGGGTGGAGTGCAGTGGTGCAATCTCAGCTCACAATTCTCCTGCCTCAGCCTCCTGAGTAGCTGGGATTACAGGTGCCCACCACCATGTCAGGCTAATTTTTGTATTTTTAGTAGAGACGGGGTTTCACCATGTTGGCCAGGCTGGTCTGGAACTCTTGACTTTGAGTGATCCGCCCAGCTTGGCCTCACCAAGTGCTGGGATTACAGGCGTGAGCCACCGCACCTGGCCTATTTCCAGTTTTTAGATCTACCCTCAGGAACCCTCTGCACAAGGGTACAAGAAAGTACAAACGGGGCTGCTCCCCACCGTATTATGTATAAAAGCAGGAAAACACAAAGCAACCTAAAGCCCATTGACAGGGCGTCACTTAGTAAACTCTGGTTTATCCGCACCGTGGAATCCTATGAAGCCATTTACAAGAAATGTGGTACAGCCAGAAAAAAAATGGAGAACTCACCAGATACGTGCCGAACGCTCACAAGAGAAAACTGAGGAAGAGAATTCTCAGTAAAGTGTGACTCTCACCGTGTGACTCCATCCATGTAAAAGTAAAGCAAAATAAGACAAAACCGTAATCCAGCATACCAAGTGATGTGTGTACGTACAGAAACGTGTCAGTGGGAAAAGCTTCACGGTTTTGTGTCTGACTTATCAGAGGGACCACTATGGGAAAAGAGAGGGAATGAAAAATTTTCTCCAACACATGAGGATACGTTCTAGAATTACCTGTGATTAAAAATTAATTTTTTGTTTTGAGATGGAGTTTCGCTCTCGTTGACCAGGCTGGAGTGCAATGGTGCGATCTTGGCTCACTGCAACCTCCACCTCCCAGGTACAAGGAATTCTCCTGCCTCGGCCTCCTAAGTAGCTGGGATTACAGGCACACACCACCACACCTGGCTAATTTCTTGTATTTTTTTTTTTTTTTTTTTTTTTTTTTTTTTTGAGACGGAGTTTCACTCACGTTGCCC